CGTGTATTGTTGCTCCCAGTTCTGTTCATTAAAGCATATTAAAATCTGTTGAGATTTTAGTTACGATTCTTGCTTTTATCTTCTGTAAACAAACCCTGGGGATGTTAATGGGATGATATAAGACTCCTAAGATCAGTTTGTGAAGAGAAACAGAGAGGTTGGAATAGAATTATAGTTTCAGTTTTATTCCTAACGCGGGTTAGTTCGGTAGCAAATTTAATCTCTGTAATTGATTTTAATTGTTGTTATCAAGCCATTGGGATGCTACTGGGTATTAATATGACACCTAAGATTGGTTTTAAAAACTAACAGAGTGATAGGAATAAGCCGGAGAAGGAGCACAAAATCTGAAACGAAGCACCGGGGACTGAAGGCTCTCAAAAGAGGTGAGAGCCGGCTCCATAGAAGTGGGAGCCGGCTCCCACAACAAGTAGAGCCGGCTCTAAGGAATCCTAGAGCCGGCTCTAGGCTAAAAGAGCCTGCTCCCAAAATTTGGAGCAGGCTCCCTTTTTATTTTATGTTTTGTTTTAATTTTTTTTTTTTTAATTTTCTACGTACTGTGTTTACTATTGGAGCATGGGATTTAATCTGTTGGGTCTGGGGTTCCACAGAGAGTTTAGAAGGTTGAATTTGGGTGTTATTAGGACCTTAAATTGATTAGGGTTTAATTCTAAATTGTCGGGACAAACAGTGTAAAAATTAAGACACTCCCTATGTTGTTAACAAATGGAAGATAAATTAATTGTTGAATTAAATTTCAGCAATTTGATGGAATATAATGTGTTTATAAAACTTATTTTAGAATGCATTCAAGTGCATGATAAGGTCATTTAATTATTAATTTTGATCTATGCATGCTTAGGAGACTAGTTGCTGAATTATTAAATCGTTTCCTGCAACTATATGGTTAATGCTTGGATTTAAATTGCTGAAATATTAAACAATCTTCTGAAATTGTTTTAGCAATTTATTGGATAATAATAGGATTATTTAACCTATTCACATGCATGATGGAGTCCCTGACATATTAAATTTGGTCTATGCATGCTCTGGATGTTAGTTGTTGATTTATTAAATCGTCTCCTGCAACTATATGGTTAAATGCTTGGATTTAAATTGCTGAAGCTTTAAATATTTTTCTGCAATTATTTGGATGGTGGTTTTTGGGTCTGTAAATTATTGAACTGTTATATATGTTGTAATTTACATGGATATGGAGGATTGTATGTACCGGTATGGGACGGTGACATACTAGGGACGGTTTAGCTCAAAACGCATAAACCTAACCTAATGGATTAATGGAATGGATTGAAAGATATCGAATCCTAATTGTGACTAAGTCAGATCAGCTGTAACCAAGTTGGATGACTTCCTGGATTAACGGATGGTAGTTAAGTCATATCAACTGAATAAGTGGAGTGACTAACTAGTTGGTTTATTGTATGTCAGTTTAATAAATAGTTGAATTGCATACCCTGGATTTGGACGGACTTTATATATATGTTTATGGTACCACGAGTTGAGTTTGAGACTCAGATTCGTTGGTTAGGGTGCGTATATGCAGTGGATGCGTAGCTGGTTATAATAGGTTGAGGTGTACCTTGTTAGGTCTAGGTACTCATGCCCACCTTTGGGTGCGTATTCGCATGTTGCCTTCTATTCAGGTTAAGACCCCTATTATAGATTAGTGAATGTCTCTTAGTGTGGATATATTTATACATATGGACTAGATAGATATTGTGAGGTGTCTACGGTGTATCTGCGTATCGGGTCACTGTATGGATTGCAGTTAGATTAGAACTTGCTCGTGGGTCTGACCCACTCCTTCATTATTCTTTTCAGGTACAGGACGGTTCCAGCCTTAGAGCTTGATCGTGCTTGTTAAGGACAGTCCCACATTCATCTGTTTACGTAGGACTTCTCTCGATGTTTCTAGCATTATCTATTTTCAGTTTTCAGTTTCAGTTGAACTTTTGGTTAGGGGTCCACCAGTGGATTCCCAAGTTGTAACCTTGAAGTTTTGGAGGATTGGAGTTTTATTTTTCAGTTATGCATGGAGGGTTTTTTTTAATTAAATGTTCTTTTAGTTTTAATCCATCTTTATTATTTTATTTTGTCATCTGTGTTCGCTTTAAAATACTTTAATTGTTTGATATTCCCTCGGGTTTGGGCCTGGGCCTGATCAACCCGTGTCTCGGATCCGAGGGGTATCACAAATAATGTGAGCAAGGAATTCGGCAATTAGGCGAACACCGCAAGCACGAGGTCGTAGCCGAATTGTAGTCAATCGGTGAGAATGAGATTCATTACGTGATCTTTTCAGCCCAGTCTAAGAAATTTCTGTTTCTCTTTAATTAAGTTTTCTTCCCCACAGATGTTCTTTTTTATTTTTTATGATAACCGGGGGGAAAAAAACAGAAAAAATAAAAAACCATGCAAGCAGATGAATATAATTTTAATGAAAATATCACTTGTCCAGAGTATGGGGAACCCTCTTTATTAGCCTTCCTCCCTAGAGGAACAAGAGGAACCAGTTCCGTGAAGCCAATCAAGGAAGCGAAAGGTCTGGTCGCCAAGATCTCCGATGCCGTAGGGTACGGGAAACGATGTCGGGTGGAGGAGGACGCCGGCTCTTCTGCGGTAGCTAAGATAGGACTTGGGAAACCAGTTGGCGTAGTCGACCGGCAAGTCCTCGTTGACGGTAGCGAGGTCGGCAGAGAAGGTGGAGGAGTTGCTGAATTGCATTGTGAAAGTTCTCCTGAGTTGTTTTGGGGTCTGAGGTGATTGAATAATAGTAGATTAATGGCGTAGGTTGAAGAGAAAAAGTATGAGGAAAAGTAATTATAGATCTTGATTCTCACACAATTTCTCTAACATTGTTTTCATCTTCCTCCCTTGTTTGAATCATAACTTTAAACCCTTCCATGACTACTTGAATATACTTTATTGCATATTAGATTTGTTATTTTTCCCGGTAAATTTTTATTTATTTTTTTATTAGAGTTAGTTGCTCATTCATCCTATATCCTATAGATAGTACTATCAATCGTGGAACCTACTCACACTTTCTATTTCCTGATCTGATGACATTTTTTTTTGTGGTTGGGAATGTGCCGTATATATTATATATATATAACCGCTATTGTTATACATCCACTTTCTTCACCGGTGCCCAATCCCCATTGAACGGCGAGCAAGGAAGAAGCGGTGATGACAGTATATATATATATATATATATATATATATATATATATATATATATATATAGAGAGAGAGAGAGAGAGAGAGAGAGAGAGAGTATAACCCTGTTTGGTTACAAGCATATTGCTATTTTATGTGCAATTCCATATCCAAATAAAATGTTATATATACAATTTTGCCAAACATGGTCATTGGAGGGCAATTTGGGCATTATTTTTTTTTACCTTTTTTATAATGTCAGCAAAAAGTATCTCTGACCAGTTTTGACCATTGACCGAGGGGGGAGACTGATGTGTGTCAGAAAGTAGGGGGTCTGACTGAATTTTTGTAAACGTGGGGGGGTCTCCTTGAAGTTTGGACATACCTCAAGGGGTGTAACTGAAGTTAACCCTTTTTAAAAAATAAATGGTGGTAGTGGCAGTGGTAGATGGTGGTGTAGGTGGTGGTGTTGGAAGTCGGCGGTGGTGTTGGTGAAAGGCAGTAGTGGTGGAAGGTGGTAGCAAGAGTGGTGGTGGTGGTGGAAGGAGATAGTGGTGTAGGTGGCGGTGGTGGAAGCCAATAGAGGTGACTGTGGTGGTGGAAGGCAGTGGAGGTGGCGGTGGTGGAAGATGGTGGTGGTGGTGGCGGTGGTGGAAGGCGATAGCGGTGGTGGTGATGGAAGATGGTGGAAGGTGATGGCGATGGCGGTGGCGGTGATGGAAGGCGGTGGCGGTAGTGGAAAGTGGTGAAAGGTGGTGGTAGAAGGCGATAACGATGGTGGTGGAAGCAGTGGTGGAAGGCGATGGTAGTGGTGAAAGGTTGTGGCGAAAGGCGGCGGTGGAAGGCGGCGGCGGTAGTGGTGTAAGACGGTGGCGGTGGTGAAAGGCGATGGCAGCAATGGGGGTAGAAGGTGGTGACAGTGGTGGAAGGTGGTGAAAAACGGTGGTGGTGATGGTGGTAGAAAGTGGTGGAAGGTGATAGCGGCGGTAGTGGCAATGGCGGCGGTGGCGGCGGGGACGGCGATGGTGGTGAAAGGCGGTGGTATTGGCGATGGCGGTGGTGAAAGGTGATGGCGGCGGTGGTGGTAAAAGGCGGCGGCGACAGTGGTGGTGGAAGATGGTGGCTGTGATGAAAGGCGGTGGCGGTGGTGATAGTGGCCGTAGCGGTGGTGAAAGGCGGTGGCGGCGGCGATGGTTGGGGTAAAGGAAGGCGGTGTCGGTGGTGAAAGGCGGTGGCGGTAGTGGAAAGCGGTGGGTGGTGGTAAAAGTAGGTGGCAGTGATGGAAGGTGCTGATAGTGGCGGTGGTGGTGAAAGGTGGAGGTGGAGGTGGTTGTGGTGGAAGATGATGATGATTTTTGGACTTAAAATATGAGGGTTTTTTGAGAAGCTGATTTTTTAAAAAAATTTATTTGAGAATGAAATGGTCATTCCATAAGTTTAGTTATAAAATGAATTTTCATTCACAAGAATAGATTTTCATTACAATAGAATGATCATTTTCATTTTAAATTACGTACCAAACAAATAAATAATTAATATAAATATCACATTGCGCCAATGCAATGAAATGAGTCTCATCAGTATCCAATAAAGAGGACAAGGGCTGACCCGTAGTTAGTACCCACCATTTCACCAAAGATGGCATTTGTAAATTTCCGCATTGTGGGGCCTCAATATGAAAGTTTGGTATAATAAAAAAGCAGCAAAAATGCTGACAGTTTGTGTGAGAGCCGCGACGAAGTAAAGTGTCACGTTTCTTGGACGAACCCATCAAACCATCCCTTTCTTCCACTGTTGGTATTCCCCACTCTCTCTCTCTCTCTAAAACAGTTATATATATAATGTATATAATATATATACAAATATATATCAATATGTAGGGTCCACAAGCCCATTCAACATAAGTTTCTTTCTTAGTCAATCGTCGTTCAAACCCAGAAACCCAATTTTAATATACATCAATCTGTTGCACCACAGCCTTCAGCTTGATTTTTTGTTATATCGTCTGTTTGGATAGTGGAATAAATCGGTTTTTGAGGTTCAACTTTTGGAGGAGAGACGGACAGACCATCATGGACTCTCAGGTCTTGGTTGCTCTTGCTCTCTCTGCTGTGGGTGGCTTGAGTACATCTTTAGGTGAGATATCTTTCATTTTTTGAATTCTTAGCTTATATAAATCGAATTCGGAAATGGGTTTTACTTGAGGAGGTTGTAGTTTAAACTTTCAACTTTCAACTTTCAACTTTCAAGCATTGCTTTCTTCAAATTGGTCTTTACAATCGTAATGTGGTGACTTATTCAATATTTATTTGTTGATTATTATGCGATTAATAATTCTGGTCAGTTTCTACCGTGCTTTCTTTTGAAATTTGAAATTTACCCCCAAATCTGTATTTGTAGCTCGTGTTATTACTCTTCTGGGTTGTTCTCAAGTTTGAATTTTGCCCCAAAATTTGTATTTGTAGTTTTTGTTATAGCTTGAATTATTGAATAATATTACAAGTTGAATTTCAGTAGTTTTAATTCATTTCAATTGTTGTTTCATATTTCTGGCATTGTTCTTTAAACCAGCTTTTATGATTACGTAATCTGTAATTTGGTGGTTTATTTAAAATCACTTGTGATGCTTAACTCATTATAGTAGTATTTTGTGTATAGTTTTCAACATGGATGTTGGCTCTATTTATTTGGTTGGGGCTAGTTTTCATGGATTTGAAAGAAAATATTTACAATATAGGTCCAACTTTTCCAATGTTCTGGTCCACCTTGCTTCCTTGATCAAGTTCCAAGTAGAATATTCTTTGAATTCAAATTTCCTTTTCTGTAATATGGTTCTATGGCTGCAGTTGCGTTTTTCCGATTATATATGTTATGTTTGGGAACACCGAATCGGTCAAAATTTGTACAAAATTTCTTCCAATCCCAAATCCAAGGTGCCCGGTGCCGCCAGACATAGCAATAGGGTATTTAGTTTTGCAAACGTCTCTATGCAAGCATAGAAGTTAACAGAATTTGTCAATAACTATTTTGTGTGGAATGCCCAAGAATTTGCTTGATACAGAACACCACAAATAGATAAAGAAATCCCAAAGTTCTACGTTCTTTCTAGTGGGTACATTATGCATAGCATAGCTTTTAAAAAGAACGTGGCCTCTATTTCCAAATGCAAACCTCCCTTGTTCTTTTAGGCATATCCATACAACTCCAAAAAATTTTACAATAGCGCTCTGTGTGACTGCCTTTTCTTGTACTGGTAGGAGCCCCTGCCTAACCCCTCTCCCTAGGCATAAGGTACCTTGGAAAAGGAAGAGATAGTGTCCCATGTTGAAAAGGGAAACTTGGCAATCTAATAATTGGCGATCCTTTCACAATCCCTTTTTACAGTGTGTCTATCAGTAATAATTTTAATCCCTTAAAACAAGATGGTCAAACTCGTAATAAAGAGAGGAGTCATTAACCATGCAAAAGAGGAAACCTTAATGACAACCAAATGACACCAAAACAATAATTGAAGGAAAGAATCCCCCTCAATTTTTGTTCCCTCATTGCGCCCAGCAGTTAAAAGTCTTCTCCCTGGCTAGTCAGCAATGGTCCTCAACCGAAGGATTTCTCGAAATGAAACTCGGTTCAACATTATATTCAAATCTATGGTTTTAACCATATCGAATAACCAGTTTGCCTTTTCTGTTTGCTTTTAGTAACAATATACGGAAACCATCTCTTTATCCTCTGACTAGAAAATGAGTAAAAGAAGAAATATATCCTTTTTCTTCCCAATATTTCCATTTACCCGAAAAAAATAAATAACGAAAAGGCGTTACTCGGTGTTAGTTCCAGTTAATGAGGGTGTAGGAGGGGTAGACTGGTTAAAGACCTAACTTTTTGGCATTATTTACATAAAGTGACTGCCATCAGTCTGAAACCCCATTTTTATGCTTGACAGTCCAAACTTTTACCACTGCACCAATAAATCAGCATATTTTTTCAAGGATATTTTGAGCAAACTAATGCATCGTTGGTTCAATGTTGTTTTCCATTAAGTAGTTTCCCAATTAGTAAAATATTAAAACAAGCAGGGTATTATTTCAAGTTTCAAGTCAAAATCATCAAAACGTAATGAAATATATCTCTTCTTTTATTTTAACACTAGGAAGCTTGATATTTTCTTTGAAATATATGATTTGTGTTTGTCCGTGCTCTGGAGTTTCTTGCAGTGACCCTTCGATTTCTGGTTGTTTCATGGATTCCGTGATAAAATAATACTAATCCCGGTTAGCTCTGGTTTTAAAATATAATTTTAGGTGCTGGCATGTGGGACAGGTGCACCTTTTGTAATTGTTTTAAAATCTAAGTTTAGGTGTTGGCATGTGGGACAGGTGCACTTTTTGTAATTCTTAGTGAGGCTCCAAATCTGAAGATGCTTGGGCTTTTACAGGTATGATTTACAGTTTGACTCTTCATTTTTATTCAAAAGGTTGTCTTACCATATCTGATATTGCCAGTCACTTAAGTTGACCAATTCATTTTCCAGTAATTTTCAGAACCAATTCTGATAAAAATTGCCATTACCTATCGATGGTCCCACCAATGCGGTGTGTGCTTGAGGGGTAGGCAGTAGGCTGATAAAAACCTAACTTTTGGAATTATCCGCACAATTATATAACAAATTTCATAGCTGATATTTATTCAATAATTTTTTGTATAAGAAAGAATGTTCTTTACTTTGATCTTGCATTGAATCCTTTGAAATTTTTAAGAGGTATGTTTCAGGTTGATTCCGTAATAACATTATCTAAACCTCTAGATTTTCCCCATGCAGGGTTTTGCTGCAGGTCTCATGTTGAGCATATCTTTCTTTGATTTGGCTCATAATTCTATCAACTCAATTGGCTTTTTAAAAGGAAACCTCTGGGTAAGCCACATTATGGCTGTGTTAATTCAGATGTATCGCTTCTTTTAACATGATTCATGATCATTTTGATAGTTAATTTTCAATTACTGCACAGTTCTTTGCAGGTGTCATTTTCTTTGCCATTGTTGTCAATTTCATCCCAGAACCATCATTTGCTCCCATTTCAGATTCCAAAAGTAAAAAGGTGTGAATTATTATTGATGAATGTATATACTCTGTTTATCCTAGTACATGCACCCAGCCAATATTATATATTTCATCATTTAGTATTGACAAATATCTCTAAGATCAATTGTCGTTGTACTCACAAACAGAAAAATGGGGATGAAGGGGGTAAGGACGACTTAAAAAAGCATCGCCGCCAAGTTTTGTTTAGTGGAATCATCACTGCAGTAGGTTGGACTATTCTGTCAAATTTTTTCTCGCCCCTTTTGTGTATCATTTAAATTATTCTAAATTCATTTGCACACTCAATATTTTTTGTATTTAAATTGGTAAGACAAAATGCATATATGATTGGTATCCATAGATGTATGTGTATTAATGCATGTATTAGCATGTTGATAGATATTTCAAACCTTGATTTTGAGGATGAGCATGTGGCCAAACTAATATATTCTTGAGCATTAATGTGACATGCCATAATGAAGCAACTTTGATATTTCATTGTAAATGTGAAGCCATAAACTTTCATATCATGAAAGAAGTGTAGTTAAGTCGTTACATGATTTGGATTGTGTTAGAAAAGCCCCCTTATATTTAGGCTTGAGAGAGGGCGTGCATTACATTAACCCAGATTATACACTCATCTTCTTCCACACGGTTACTGGTTTCTCTTTTCCTAGTTTTAAACCTTAGTTTGGGCTCATCTTTAGCCCTCAATTCGAAGTATCAAACCATCTTGGAATCCTTCCAATCTTGTGAGATTATTGTCCTCCACGAGGAGAATATATTAAATTTTTTTTTTTTTTGATAAGTAAAATTGTATAAAAAGTGCTCAAAAGGGGAGTGTATCCCAAGAGAACTACACAAGGCCAAATAGGGCCTCTAAACTTTCAAAGAGTCCAAAAAATCTACAATCTCCTCTAAAGATCTATAATTTTTCCCTGCAACTCAAAAAAAAAAGAAGGTGTGGTAATAATAGAGGACTTAAGCATGGAAATAGGATTCTCCTATCCTTTTAAGGATCTCCTGTTTCTTTCAAGCCAAAGACATCGCCATAAACACAATGGCGTAACCCTCCAAACAACCTGGACTTGGCCCCCCATTATATAACCTCTCCAAGCCTCAATCAACCCTCTGGAGGACCTAGGCATGACCCACTGAACCCCAAACAAACCAAGCATCAAATCCCGACATTCCCTAGCCATGGTGCAACGCAAAAGAAGGTGATCCACCATCTCCTCATCTCGAAGGTGCATGCAACAACAATTGACCACAACCTGATTCCTTCTCTTCAAATTATCCTGGATCATGATCTTTCCCAAAAGAGATGTCCAAGCAAAGAAAGTCACCTTGAGAGGGGCTTTGGAGCGCCAAACAGCCTTCATTGAAAGGAACCCCTGGCTCTTCCGTGAGATATCTATAGAAGGACCGAACATCAAAACGACCTTGAGAGTGCCTCGTGAAACGAACATCCCAAGATGATTTCCCACTATCAAGCCGATAACAGTCGACCACCATGGCATGTCTATCCATGGCGATCTTGAAGAGCTGAGGGAAAGAGAGAGCAAGGGAGCGATCACAACACCAAACTTCCTCCCAGAAATGGATCCTCCTACCACCTCTGAGCCAAAATCTGATGTGTTCAGAAAAGTCTTCCCACCCCTCCTTCTGAATGAACTTCCAAGCCCAAAACCCTCTGGAATACGCACCTCGAGGGAGCTCCAACCTCTTCTGCCCTCTCCAAATCTACTCGCAACCACCCTCCATCATAGCCTATGCCTCTCCAATCCAAACCTCTAAAGCCATTTTCCGAGGAAAGCCTTATTGAAAGGCACCAATCTTCTTATTCCCAAGCCTCCGACCCAGATCAGACTACACACCTGCTCCTAGTGAACCAGATGAAACTTGAGCTCCTCCCCAAACCCCCCCAAAGAAAATTCCCTTGCAACCTCTCGATCCTCTCAGCCATAGAAGAGGGAATCTGGAACAAAGAGGAAATAAGGAGGAAGGCTTGAAAGTGTGCTTTTCATTAGAGTAATCCTCCCACCCTTAGAAAGATACTGCTTTTTCCATCCCGCCAACCTCCTCTCAGATCTTTCCACCACAGGATCCCAGCTCCCACACTCCTCGAGGATGACCCAAGGGGTAACCCCAAATAAGAGATGGGAAACAAACCAATGCTGCACCCAAGAATATCTGCTAACATCGCGATCTCAGGAACCTCCCAAATTGGCACCAAAACGCTCTTCCCCAAGTTCACCTGCAGACTGGAGACAACTTGGAACCATATCAAAACACATCTCAAATATCTCATTTGGGACACATCCGCATCACAAAACACAAAAATTATGCCAAAAAGTTCTATATTCCAATTGTATTTCAGCCCCAAAATAGCCGCTTCAGTCATGGTTGAAATCTTATTTCTCTTCGATTCCGACTCTAAATGTAGCCTCAATTTTGCTTATATATCAATCTAAGAGTCAATTCAAACCTTTTCGTTATGATTCTATCTTAGAAGCGTACCTAGAATTTCAAATATTGATTGCTTTAATTTCGCCACTTGATAGTTTAGTATTAGAGCCTATGCGCAACCGAAAGTGCACCAGTGTCTTAAGTTGCGCATGTAAGGATACGTGTGTGCGTGAGGGCGGTGGAAACCTATGGACGGGATCCTATATCATTTGGGAAGGCAAAAGTTGCTTAGAATATAAGACGGGTTGCGCACCATATGTTAACAAAGCGTTTTAAAGCCGTGAGAGGAACCCAAAGATGACAATGTTGTTAATTATGTTCTTCAAAAGTAAATTAAAATGCTATTTTTCCTAGAAAATCCATTATTAACCCTGTGACTATGTTTAAAACTCACCATTAAATTCATACATATTATGTGATGTTCCACACCCCTTGGGGGAAGAGGTTGTTGGCACTTATATGTGTGGACACCTTCTAACTGTATAGAGCATCAGTTGGTGCAATTAGTTGTCCACTCGTGGTGACTAACATTAATTTTCATATCAGTGAATTTTTTCACCTCTCTCAAAATAGCCAAACAAGTTTGACTCTCTCACAAGACCAATAAGCTTGACGATGTCCAAGAATTTCTTAGAATTTCAAGCAGTGAAATTAGTCTATAACTGCTATTTTTTGTCGTTTACGTTTGCTTTTTAGTTGTCTCCTGATGAGTCCTAGTTGTTCCATTCCAAAGGGCTGTTTTAGAAGGATAATTTCATTGTCTTTCCTAGTTTCTTATTTTTTTCTTTTGGTAGGTAAGACATGCATACACCTCAATTGCCCCTTGTGGGGACTTGAACTCTCAAACTTCATTTGGAAAGTAGAGGAGATATTTATAGAGCTAAGCTTACTAAACGAGTGTTGCCCATTCTAAAAATTTTTGTGGTGGTGATTATTTATGTTAGTGGCATTCCTCTGTTTTCTTTATCAGTTCTTTAAACAAAAAGACAACCATATCATCAACTTGTGCTCCAACCCCATCATTAAATTGCATTCCATGTTGCCGTTGGAAAATCATTTAGCTCAGCGTTGTGGTTTCAAGCTGGTGAGCTTGAATAGTGTCGAGCTCACTTTTTAAAATAAATTTCTCTCTTTATGTACTTGTCTCCCATGTAAATTTTTGATGTCTTAAAGATGTTTAGTTTGACTAGTAACTTCACAACAGTAGTATTATTATGTATATGCATGCGTGCGTGCATGTTTATTTTGCCTTTTTCCCTCTTACCTGCAGAATGTGTAACAAATGAAGAACATGTTGATTGATTGGATGCTCCACAACGAGATTGAGAATTTCATTTTTTTCATCGGGGGAAAATTTGAAATCAAATCTCCATATTGCAAGTCTTACTTCTTTTTATTTGGGAAATACCCTGCTTATATTAGTCTTGCTTTAATGGGAGACTTCATCATTACATATTTCAGGCATAAGCTTGCACAATTTTCCAGAGGGAATGGCTGTCTTCCTTGGATCAATTAAGGTACCAATGTTATTTTATAAGGTTCTGGCTTGTATACCTAATTTATGAATTCAAGTCATAGCAGCTTAACAATTTTAATGTTGATGACTGGTTTGTCTTCAATTACAAAGAATTAGATGTTGAATTTCTTATCTAGTGTCAAGCTATCCTTGAATTATACAACATTCAAGGTTAATTTTTGTTGTAGGAGTTAAAATTCAACTGAAAGCTCAATAATATTATGGGGATCTTGTAGTTGATCAAGTTGAAACTTTTTGGTTACTGTGAATGCCGAGCTCAATGCTTACCTCAATGGCAGCTGAAAGTAATGAAAATTATATCTTTATGAGCTTGATGGCAGGACGCTTGCATCTTCTGCTTTCATTTAAAAGTTGCAACACTTAATGTGCACCAGGATATCATTAAAATTGATTTTGTATTGTTTAGATATAGTTCAAAATTCCGTCAGTGCAGTTTATTAATGATAATTACCTGGTCATTGAAAATCATTGAGATCTTTTAGAAACTCCAGGCTTGAGGAGTGTAAATCACTTTCCTAACATCACTAAGTCTTATTCATCTCATGCTTCTTTTGTGGGCTTTCGAACTTGGCACTGGCCATTTACGACTTACGTTTCCCTTCACAAGTTTCTTGTTTTTCTCATGCTTCTTTTGTAGGGTCTTCGGGTTGGTTTGAACTTGGCACTGGCTATTGCTTTGCACAACATCCCGGAGGTATACTTGTTCAGATCCTTTAGTATTGGTATTTTGCTAATAGATGCTATGGCATCTATTTAATGACTTAATTTGGTAGGATCAAGCTTCTTCTTTATTGCTATTATTGCTTACAGTTCTTGCCTTCTTTTGGGAAGCATGAATTTTTTTAATATTTTACAAGATAGGAAATCAAACATGAGACATCCACAATTAATATGTTCTGATACCAATTGAAGAATTTGGATTGTAACCCAAGGCTTTGATGGTTAGAGTGTTCAAAGCCCAAAATATATCTAGAGGAGGGTAAATAGATTCTATTCGATTTTTAACTAACAATAACTACTTTTTAAAATATAGCAGTTATATTTAGATGCAACAATATCAATTGTTAAACTATAAAGAGAAAAAATAAATAACCAAGCAATCACACATATAGTAAAATTTTATATGGAAAACCTGGAAGGGAAGAATCATAAGACCTAGTCCAAGCAGATCAAATCCACTATTAGAAGAAATATAATATGACCCTAGGTTACTGATTCTAAAGCTAAGAATTATCTACTTACCTCCGACCCAAACTTACGCCACACCATCCAATCTGATCCCCGCTACTGCCAGTCAATGGATCCGGTCCTCAAGTGATCAATGGATCCGTTCCTAAAGTTATACATAGTAAAATAATTTATGAACACAATTCATTTATATCAGGATTGAGCTTTTAAGATATCCAATTATTGCATGAACTCATCCCTTTTATTTTTCATGACAGCTTTCACAATACTGCCAGCCAGCTCTTTCCATAGACACATCTATATTATTTTCTTTTATGTTTAGGAAGCTTTCCAACAAATCCCATACGTAACTTTCTCCATGTTTTTAATAGTTGTAGATATTTTTCTACAACTATTTTTCTTTTTTCCACTAGACTGTTAATCATCATTTTTATGATCCTTGACATTCATATTTATTCAACATTTTCACATATACTGTAGATCGCATTTCAAACTTATGTACATAAATATGTATATATGAAAATTAGTGTGTATGGAGTTTGTTTTGATGTCCTTTGCTTTCAGCATTGGAGTGTTTTTCTTGTTTTGTTGTGAAGGTATTCTTCACGGTCATCTTTTGTACATATTTTTCTACATATATAAAACATTTTCCACATTGCCCAGGGAAAAAAAAATAGTGTGTTTGATAGACCCATCGCATTCACCACACAGAAAATGAATAAACAAAATTTCACTTGGATTCTATTAGAAAAAAATAAAAAAATAAACACTTAATTGATCAATAATATGTCTTTTATAACAATTAAATTTGATTATGACTTTTGTCATGGTTTTCATTTTAAACATAAGGTTGACTTTTTCTTATGATTTTCATTTTAAACACGACGCATGATTAAGCTAAAATATTAGACTTACAAAATTATAGATACTACTTAGTCTTAGGATTTTGAATTCTCAAGTTTATTTCCGTAACGGTAACTATAGTGTTATTGAAAATCATTTCCAATAGATTGCTTAGGGTTTTTATGGCCTAAGGAATCCAAAGGAATCTAACATATTTCGTTAATTCTTCTTTACTAACCCACATAAAACTTATCTTCATTCCCACATGTGGAGGGTTCTCTTTTAATGAAATTTGTGCTTTATTCAATGACTTAGCATTCTTTTTCAACTTTTTGTTTTCTCAATTTTTCTACTTTTATTATTTTTCACATTTTGATTTTGAGAGTACATAGCGTTAACTCGGTAGCATTTTCTTCATCTCTCCTACACTGAAAACAGTAGAACCTTGTATGACCAACCTTATCACAGTAAGAGCAATACCGTTTGAGGAATAGAGAGAGATTCCTATTTTTAATGTGTCGTTGTAGTACTCAATTACCTATCCTAAGTGTTTGTGATCAAACCTTTGAACAACAATATGTTGAATTTGAAGCTTGACTTTGGGCAGACGTAAAATTAAATTAAATAAAGATTACAGATTGATGTGGTTTTTACTATGAAATTTGGCAACACATGACACTGAATCCTATCACATTAAAAATGATTTAAAAAAGACTAAATGTTGTAAGAGACATGGTTTATAATAGGAAAGAATGGAAAAAGAGAATTCATGTGGCCGACCCCATCCGTATGAGACAAAGGCGAGAATGATGATGATGATGATCCATCCCATTGTCATCCCTATAAAAATTTGAACATAAAAATTTATTCTTATTTTGTTAATAATGGGATGTGATATTTTCACTTCATATTTGTACTCTTCCATTGATTTTTTAATAGGAGAAATGACATAATTACCCCCTCAAAGGTGTGTGTAATAGCACTTTTTCAGATAATTGAGGAGTGTGGAAATGCTTGTGAAGGACAATTGTGTAATAATGATGACATATTCTTTCACTATTGGTGGTTCTCTCATTTTTTTTTTTTTTTTTTCATTATGTAGATTGTATCAACTCTCAACTGTAGTTGTAATGAGTTAAATTTTTATCTTATGGATATTTTGGATTTTTTTTTTTTTTTCTTCGTATTTTTGAAATGATGCTTCTTTTCGTAAATAGTTTACTTTCTTTTTTATTGTACCACTTTTATGTTCATTGAAGGGTAAATTGTAAACAAATCCATGGCCTATCAATCTTTCAAAACAAACCACCTGAACTATTTTTTTAGCTAAAAAACCCTCTAATCCTTCAAAATTGTACCAAATGCCATATTGTCATCAGATGGTCATTAAGTCTCGTTTAATTTAGTTTATATACTCTTAAATACTGCCTCTGTATATTTGTCTTCTACTTTTGACTTTAATGACTTATGCCATGTTGGTACTTGCCTACTTGTTCACAAATACAAAAAATTGATCATTTTTCTATATATATCATATTTAGATCTCAACCTACACATATCCTATGCACTATAGAGTTAATTCATTACGTGTGTGTATGCTATCACCTTGTGAAATTCTTATGGATACTGTTGAAATATCTTTATTATTTTTATTTTTATTAGCTGTTTTTAGCCTTTTATTAGGTGTTTTATGTAAGATCCCTATAATCATGGGATCACCTAGATAATATCCCAGTAATTATGGGATCCAGTAGATAAGATCCCCATAATCATGGGATCACGTAGAATTTGGCATGTTTTCTGTCTTTCTTGGATTTGATTTTATTTCTTTGTACCCTATTCTTGTATATAAATATAGATCTTGGCTCTCGGTTTAAGTAAGCCAAAACCCAAAGCTTCTTCTTTTTGGTATCCAAGCAAAACAAAAACCTTCGCCTCCTGATCTTCCTCCCCAATTCTGCTACCTTCTCTCTCCCTCTCTCCATTTTCCCTCACCTTCGGTGCACCTCCATCTCCTCCTAACCCTTGCACCGAACCCCTCGGGTAACCCTCTATTTTTGACTCCTTTTTTAGGAGAATTCCCTTAGGTTTTTTATGATCTAAGGGATCCTTTTGGTGGTTTTTTTTTTTTTTTTTTTTTTTTTTTTTTTTTTCCTTTGTGGGTTGCTGATGTTTGTTCAGTAGCATATTTGCAGGAAAGTGCTGATTTTTTCGGCCTTATTTTTTTCTTTCCTTCCTTTTCGACGTGTGGACCAGCCGTTTGGTACTATGAGTGATTCTAGTAGCCAAAATGACACTTTATCTTCGGGCCGTGGACGCACTGCCGCAATAGCCGATACTATTGGTGGGTATACTACTCCACAGATTGTTGTCCCTCCTGCTTGAACTCCTCCCAGACCATTTTTTCAGGACTTCAAACAGTTACAGTCCCAGATTGGTCAGCTTCAGGAGTAGTTCAGAGCCTTATCTACTAGGGCTGGCTCTTCTACTCCCACGACTACTATAGCTACAAGTACTCCTTCTGCTTATCATGTTAAAGCGGGAAAACATACTTGAGATCTGGATTCCGGAGCCAATGATCACATGACTGGTGAGTTGTTATTATTTTCTACTCCCGTTACCCCGTTAATCAGGCTGTTAATCTAGTCGATGGGTCAACCACCGTTATTCGTAGCAAAGGAAATGTTCATCTATCCCCTGATAGTATTTTGCCATCTGTTCTTTATGTTCCTAACTTTGCATTTAATCTTATATCGGTTAGCAAAATTGCTAAATCACTAAACTGTGCAGTGATTTTCTTTCCTCATTACTGTGTTTTAAAGGACCTGTGTTCGAAAAGGATTATTTTTGGTAGGGGATATGAGCACGATGGCCTCTTCCTATTTTCCAAGAAGAGCCTTCTCTTCTTGTTTCCTCACCCCCTTTGTAGGTCTATTCACGTTGCCCTCGTGCTTTGCTTCCACTGCCTTCATCCTTCTCAAACTTAGGTTCAGGTACATCTCTCTCTCTCCTTTACATTGCCCTAACCCTGACCTTGATCCTGTTCCTGTTCCTGATTCTCGGTATCCAACTCGGGACCGCAAACCCCCTGCTAGATTTGGATTCGCTTGTAGTACTTGCTCATCCTATTTCGCATTATATCTCTTATGATGGTCTTTCAGGGTCTTACCAAACCTTTCTAGGCAAACTTGATTCCATTTCCATTCTTAGGAAGTTGTCTGAGGCTCTCCGGAATCCCAATTGGATGTCTGCTATGAAGGTAGAAATGGAAGCTTTGCAGCATAATTAAACATGGGAACTTGTATCTCTCCCTCATGGTGAAAAGACTGTTGGTTGCAAATGGGTATTCAGTGTTAAATATATGGTTGATGGCTTTATTGATCGGTATAAAGCCCGTTTGGTGGCCAAAGGGTTTACTTAGATTCCTGGGAAAGACTTTAATGATACCTTCGCTCCAGTGGCTAAATTGACCTCAGTTCATTTGCTTGTCTCCCTGGTTGCCTCTCACAATTGGCCTCTTCATCAGTTTGATGTGAAGAATGCTTTCCTTAATGGTGATCTTCTTGAGACTATTTACATGGATCCTCCACCCGGTTTTCGGGGTGAGGGGGAGTATGTTGGAAAGGTCTATCGATTGCGGAAGTCTTTGTATGGATTAAAACA